AATTTAATTTTTAAATAATAGTGCTACTGATATATAATTTAAATATCATGAAATTCATCCTTTTAATGTACAGTTCACTGGTTTTTAGCATATGAAGTTGTGCAACCATCAACATTATTTAATTTTAGAACATTTTTATCACCCCAAAAATAAACTTTATATCCATTAGCAGTCATTCCCCACTTCCCATCTCTGTTGATTTGCCTATTCTGGACTTTTTACAAATGGAATTGTGTAATATATAGTATTTTAAACTGACTTCTTTCACTTAGCATAATGTTTTCAAAGTTCATCCATGTAACACTACTTCATTACTCTTTATTGACAGATAATATTCTATTTACGTATATATAATTTTTGTTTAACCATTCATCATTTCATTGGTATTTGGATTATTTCCATTTTTTTTGCTATTATGAATAGTGCTGCTACGAATATTTGTGTACCAGCTTTGGTGTACACCCTTTTTCATTTTTCTTTGGTGTATACTTAGGAATGGAATTGCTGGGTCATAAGATAACTATGTTTAAAAAAACAAGAAAGGAAGAGAAATAGAAGAACAAAATTAAAAAGATAACTGTGTTTAACATTTTGAGAGACTGATAAGCTGTTTTCCATAGCAGCTGCATCATTTTACAGTCCTACCGGCAATGTACAATTGTTCCAGTTGCTATACAGCCTCATTAACACATGTTATAGATTTCTTTTTATTTTAATCATCCTAGTGGATATGAAGTGGTATCTCATTGTGGTTTTGATTTGCATTTCTTTAATGACTATTGATGTTGAGAATCTTTTCTTATGTTCATTGGTCACTTGCATATCTTCTTTGGAGAAATGTCATTCAAATCCTTTGCCCATTTCTTTAAATAGGCTATTTTTTTTAGAGCAGTGTTAGGTTCACAAAAAATTTGAGAGGAGGCTGCAGAGAATTTCCATATACTTTCCCCCAAATAAAGAACTTCCTTAATCATCAACATTTGCACTGCAACGGCACATTTTTCACCATCAAGGAACCTACATTAACACATAGTTGTCAACCAAAGTCCATAGTTCACATTAGGGTTCACTCTTGGTGTTGTACATTCTATGCATTTGGACGAATGTATAATGACATATTTATATGTCCGCCATTATAATATCATACAGAATATTTTCCCTACCCTAAGAATCCTCTGTGATTTTCCATTTATCCCTTCCTGCTCCCAACCCTTGCAACTCCTCATCTCTTTTATTCTCTCCATAATTTTGCCTTTTCCAGAATGTCATATAGATGGATTCATATAGTATGTGGCCTTTTTAGATTGGCTTCTTTCACTTAGTCATAGAAATTTAAACTTCTTCCGTGTCTTCTCATGGTTAAATATTTCTTTTTCTTTCTTTCTTTTTTTTTTTTTTTGAGACAGAGTCTCACTCTTTTGCCCAGGCTGGACTGCAATTGCACAATCTTGGCCTACTGCAACCTCAGCATTCTGGGTTCCAGCGATTCTCCTGCCTCAGCCTCCTGAATAGCTGGGACTACAGGTGCATATTACCATACCCAGCTAATTTTTGTATTTTTAGTAGAGACGGGGTTTCACCATGTTGACCAGGCTGGTCTCAAATTCCTGACCTCAGGTGATCCACCTGCCTCGGCCTCCCAAAGTGCTGGGATTACAGGCATGAGCCACCATGACCAGCTTAATATTTCTTCTTAGTGCTGAATAATATTCCATTAAGTTTATTTGGTTGCTTCCAAGCTTGGGCAATTATGAATAAAGCTGATATAAATATTCTGCACAGGTTTTAATGTGGACATACATTTTCAGCTTATTTGGGTAAACACCAAGAAGCACTACTGCTGGATTACATGGTGAGAATATGTTAGTTTTATAAAAAAACTAAACTGTGTTCCAAAATGGCTATACCATTTTGCATTGCCGCCATCAATGAATGAGAATTCTTTGTCCATTTTCCAACTGGGTAATTTTTCTTTTTTATTGTTGAGTTTAAGAGTTTTAGTAAGTATATTCTAGACACAAGTCCCTTATCATTCTGATTTCTGAGTCTCCTCAAGTTCCCTGGATCTTGCTGCCATGGCTGCATCTCTTCTGGCCACATGGGAGAAACATCCTGCTGTTTCAAATGCCATGACATGCTGGGTAGCCTGAGGATTTAGTGATACTTTTCTAGATTCATCTACAAAGAAGGATCCCTACAGGTCTTTCTAATCTTTGGCTCTACCTCCATGGAAGGTGAGAAAAACCATCTTTTACATTGGTATGTGATTTACAATCTTTTCTTTCAGCACTAATCTTTGTGTCCTAACTCATTCAGGTTTTTGAGGTTTAGTTCTCAGAAACTAGTCTATAGAATTCAAACTTTTCTCTCGAATTATTGTCTCTGCTATCAAGTTTAAAATCTATTTTAAAATTCAAAGGCAAGAATTTGATTTCTTTTCTTTCTGCCTCCACAATACCTCTGTTTGAGTTTGAATGGAGGCAGATGCCAGATATAATACTGCAAAACTATCATCTTGCTATCTGCAAAACTATCATATAAAATAGTTGTCTAAAAGCAAGCTGAGACTAAACAAGTGCAAGTTGCACAGGTAGTGAAGCTTAGTGAGAGTAAGTGATGCAAGAGTCATTCTGAAGAGTGAACAGCAACTTTGCTTTGTATTCCAACTCCACAGTCATGGGTTCTGCAATTGGAAGTAGCTTAAGCAAAGAGTGGAATACATTTTAAGGATATGGTGACGTCTCATAGAATCCCAGGACCAGAAAGCAGTTAGGCCTTGGGAATAAATGGAATCAGGAACTCAAATGTAATCACACTCTTCACCTTTTCTGGTTCACAAAATTACTGAAAACTCCCATTTTTTTTTGCAGTTCCTAGTGGCATTTAAAGATAATCTGATCTTTGTTTCTAAAATACACTTCCAAAATTCCCAGAAAAGGACAGTTTCTCAAATTGAGTAAATGTGGCCAGGGCTAGGGGAACAGAGGAAAGTCCCATTCTAATAACATAGATAGTTTCATGGTTACCAGGCAAATGGTGTGGGAGACATGGGGGAAATTAAAAAAATTAGTTTGCAAAGCAGGTGAATCTGGCAGGTGCTCTCTTTGTTGTTCTTGGTTGCATGTAGTTGAAATTTCAAACCTCTTAGACCAGCATACAAAGGCCTTCAAAATGTCCCTTTAATCTGTTTTTCCTACTTTTTCTGTTAACCCTGTATCATTCCCTATACCCTGAATCTAGAAGCACCAAGCTACTTTCTCTTCCTGGAATGCACTGGGCTCTTCGTGCCTATCAGCCTTTGCACAAGTTTCTTCTTAGTTTGGAAAGCGTTTTTCTCCCTAGTCTGGCTGGTAACTTCTAGTTATCTTTTAGAAGTCTAGCTCAGAGTTATATCTGGAAACACTTGACTTTCAAAGAATAATTTATTGCTTTTTTTGTGTTTCACTTTGTTGGCACTATTCTAGGACCCCTATCACACTGGATTGTAGTTGTCTAATCTGTCTCTTTTCTCTACCAACTTGAACATTTTAGAAGTAAAACTATGCCTTGATCGTATTTGTCTCAATGGTGGCTTGTCTTTGGGTTGTACATAGCAGAGGTTCAATAAAATTCTCATCAGTTATTATTTTTCTCTTTTTCTCCCCGACCTAAGTAATCTCAGTACCCCCAGCTCCTTAAATTATCAACAAATAGAAAAAAAGCTCTATTCGTTTTTATCCTTGTTCTTTACTCTCTTTAGTTTAAACCCAAATTTGACTATGTAAATGTTATTTCATTTTGTTACCCCTTTCCTTCATTAAAACAAAAATACCCTTCATGCACGTGCAAAACACTCTACCCCACACTGTTAAAAGAGCAGAAATGAACACTAACAAAAGCCAAGATGAAAAATTTCCCCAATGTTGAATTTTTGGACTTAATGTGGGAGTAGGAAAAATGGAGACACAATTCTGGTTCTCCCTTTGTCAGTTTTCAATTGCTGTTTCTCAATCTCAGTCAGAAAACACATCTCTCTGCCTTTCGTTTCACCCCATTTCTACTTTCTCCTCCCTTGCCCCTATGCAAAACCAAAGATGGGTTGAGAGGCCAGGCATAACGGAAGAGGAACGTTCTTTTCTTCCACTCCTGCTTCATTCTCTCCCCCTTTCTTCTTCAAATTCTGTTTTGGGCCCATCCTTCCTCACCCTTCCATTTTCATCTGATGGACACACTGTCACTGTTGTCTCTTGTCATATTTGATTTTATGACATTTCATGATTTTTTTTTTTTTTTTGGTAAATTCATGGACAGATAATGTATCCTGGTAAACACTTAGATTAAAATAAATTTACACAGTTGATTACTATAAATGAAAATTAGTGACTCAAATTCTCCAGGTTTCTAAGCTGCTTAGACTAAGCCAATCAGGTAATTTTCGCTACTTCTGGGCAAAATGTATCTGAATCTATTCAGTGGATTTGTAGGACGAAATCTAAGTTTACCTCTTTCATCTCTCATTTAAATGCGGAAAAACAAAATCAATAAAAATCGATACATGCTTATTAAGCATTTTAAGGAGGATGTGAATAAGGAGCGGAGGATTTGAGCAGTGACTACAGCATTGTCAAAACCAATAACCAATGCCAATCAGTAGCTCTTTTCACCTCTCACACAATAATAGAGACAGGAGAGGATAAAAAAGGGTGACATTAAAAAAAAGTATGGATGTTAAAATGAAAAAAAACATTGGAAATGGCACTGTAAATGACACCGCAAAAGATCGCCTCCAGGCACTGTGCGGAGCTTTGCAGACTCAGGTCCTCACCCGAGGGCCGCAGGACCGACCTCGGGAAGGCTCCGCCCCAGAAACTATTTCATTGGCGCCCCCACCGCCCCACACTTCCCCTCTTCCGCATGCGCACAAGGAGCAGGAGCCGGCCAGCTCGTCACGTCGCCTTCCCCGCCCCTAAATTTCCAGTTCCGATTGGTCCGTTTCATGGGACCGCCCCTCTGGCCCGACCAATGTGAAAGCCTCCTCGGGTGCTCCGCCCGCCCCGCGGGCTGCGTGCGGCATTGCCTGCGAACCCTGGCGGTGAGCGGGGATGGCGGTTGTGGCGGCGGCTGCAGGCTGGCTGCTCAGGCTCAGGGCGGCAGGGGCTGAGGGGCACTGGCGTCGGTTCCGTGGCGTGGGGCTGGCGCGGGGATTTCTGCACCCCTCCGCGACTGTCGAGGATGCGGCCCAGAGGCGGCAGGTGGCTCATTTTACTTTCCAGCCAGATCCGGAGCCCCGAGAGTACGGTGAGCCAGGGACTGCCCACTCGGTCCCGCTGTAGCCCGGACTCCCAGGCTCGCAGGCGCCCGCGAGGGGCAGAGGCCGGCAGGCTGCAATCCTTGCATCCTAGCTTATTAACTGCCTTACCCTCTGGAACCTCCTTGCCCCAGGGTCTAACTGTGATTCACTTCTTGCTCTATTTTTGTGAGTGTTCCGCCCCAGAGACGCAGTCCTCCCTCCCTCGCACCTTTGTGATGGGTGAGAGGGCATACTGCCACCTGAAAGGGCCTGAGGGTGGAGGGGTGGTGCCCAGGGAACGCCCCCCCCTTTCTCTCTCCTCCATCCTTACTTTCTCAACCTAGACCTTAGGTGTTGTTCCAGCCTGCCCGGGACTGGGTCACTAGCTTAGGTAGAGACATTTAATATATATATACACACACACACATATATATATATATATATAAAATATATATATAAAATCAATTCTGTTACTCAGTTCCTTGGTTTCTTCTTACCTACAGAAATTGTGTGTGTGTGTGTGTGTGTGTGTATATATATATGTCCCTTGGTTTCTTCTTACCTAGAGAAATACATATATATATATCCCTTGGTTTCTTTGTACCTATAGAATTTCTGCAGGTAAGAAGAAACCAGGGGACTGAGTAATTGAACTGATTTTCCCAAGGTCACAGAACAGGTTCTTCCTAGAGATGAGAAAGAATCCAGACTTTCTACTTAAGCTTAGTACTGAGCTTGTCCTGGGCTATGCTGCCACTTAGCCAAGGAGGTGAAGGTGATGGGAGGAGGAAGCCATAGGAAGGCTATGTAGCAAACTCCTCGTGGTATGACTATTGCATGATTTTTACCATTTCTGCAAGTTTCATGTAATGTCTCTTATCAGAATATCAGATCCAGTGTCTCTCATCAGAATATCAGGAAACTAGGGAAACATGTATTGCTTCCTTGTCTAATAACTTCTCACGTGCATGCTAGAGCTGACATTTTTGGAAGTGTGTCTTTTCTTGTGGATAAGAATGAACATTTATTGAGTGCTTACCAGGGTCAGGCACTGTGTGTATGTTTCATCCTCTCATTTAAGGGTTAGGACAACCTTAAAAGGTTGGTAAAGTTTTTATTCCCATTTTGCAGTTAGATTAATGGAAGTCTTGAGACAGTTTGTCCAGGATTACACAGATAAGTTAGTGGTAGCTCCAGAGCTCCAGCTTTGGAATCTAATTGATCAGGTTCCAGAGCTTCCATTCTAAACAATGTACTAAGATGCATGTAGATATAATTTACTAGGAGGGTGTCCCAGTATTGTGAAACAGTAGGTACCATAAAGGTTAATAGTAGGGTTTTTTTTTCCACCACCAAGATGAGCCCTCAATTCTGTCTTCAAAGCAAAGAATAATCCACCTTTCCATATTTGTAAATTTACTAAAATCTAAGTAAAATGATATCATGTTATTGTGATATATATCATGATATATATAAACTTGTTCTTATTTTAAAAATAATACAAACATATTACAGGTAATTTGGATAATGGAGAAAAAGTAAAAAAAAAAAAAAAAAAAAAATCTGCTGGGCGCAGTGGCTCATGTCTGTAATCCCAGCACTTTGGGAGGCTGAGGTGGGTGGATCACCAGGTCAAGAGATCGAAGCCATCCTGGCCAACGTGGTGAAACCCTGCCTCTACGAAAGATACAAAAATTAGCTGGGCGTGACAGCGCATGCCTGTAGTCCCAGCTACTTGGGAGGCTGAGGGAGGAGAATCGCTTGAACCCGGGAGGCGGAGGTTGCAGTGAGCTGATATCGTGCCACTGCACTCCAACCTGGTGACAGAGCAAGACTCCATCTGAAGAAAACCCCAAAAACCAACCAAACAAACAAAAATCGCCACCCACTACTAACATTGTGGGTGTATCCTTACAGGTATTTCCTTTTAGTTTAGTATTTTCCGTACTTTTAGTTTTAATACAAATACAACTTATTTAGTCAGAAGGATAATCCTATCATTCTCTGGAGTTTTTATAACCTTCTTGAGAATTTAGAAGAAATGTTGCACAGAGTAGAGATGCTACAAGTCTTTTACAAGTTAAATTCTTGACTTCGGAATCAGATTGTCCTAAATTTGATCTTGTCTTGGCTATCTATAACTTTGGAGTTATCACTTATCTTCTATAAGCCTCAGTTTCTTTATATGTAAGGGGTTAATAATACCTACTTCAGAAGGTTGTTCTGAGAGCTACATAAAACAATGTCTATAATATACTTAACACTGTTTGACAACTGAGAATCAAGCATTCACTCAATAAGTGGAACCTTTAATTACCATTATGTTTTTGTTGCTAAAGTTTTGCAGTTTTTATAAATAATGCAGACATAAGCATTTAATGTGTATGGGTTTTATGTATCTGAGATGATTTCTTTAGGATAGAGTTCTGAATGCTTTAGTGGATTTTAAGTGCATAGTTCAAATTTATAGCCTAGTTTATACCCCATAACATGTATAGTAGTATGAGTATTAGATATTAATGCTAAAATTAGGTGTTCATGTACACTTTTGGATATTTTGTGCTACCTGAGCTTTGTTTTAATTTTGATTTGTTTCATTTCTGTTGAGGAATATTTTCCCATGTTTTTGTTAACTTGATTTATTTTTACTTAAGAATTGAGTATTAGATGTGTTTACAGATTTTTAAAAGTATACTCAGTATTTTTCCTATCAATATTATCTACTATTATTGCATAGTTGCTCTTTTCCAGGTGTTGTGTTAGACATCAGTTTATAATCCTCACAGTAACCTTGTGAGCTAGACAATATTATGCTCATTTTAAAGATGAGAAAATTGAGGCTCAGAAATGTTAGTACTTGCCCAAGTCTGGTAAGTAGCAGAGCCAGAGTTTGAATCTTGATGTGTCTGACTCCAAAGCCTCCCACACTACTTATATACTAAGATTTTTGTCTATTAAAAAATATTGAAGAAGATACTAACTTTCTGCTTTTCACATGTGCTGCAAATACTTTTCATTCTTTTATTTTGGTTGTTTTGACATATAAAAGGTACTGTTTAAATAGGAGGTAGTCAGATTAGACTCTGAGTTGTTGACACTTATGCTGCTTTATGCTGGCATGTTTGCTCCCTTTATCACACTGTGTTGTTCTCTGAGAACAGTTCATCTTGGCTTCTCCATACCCCTGATTCTTGGGCATTGTGTGGATGTAGTTTGTTTATTCAGTCATTCTTTGCATTTTTATTTTCTCCTGGATGCCAGACTGTCTGCTAGCTGTTAAGGATATGATGGACCTGTCAGAGGGTAATCTGAACCTTCTTTTTGGACACCTTGTATCCCCTGTCTGCCAGGAAATTCAAATTTTTTGTAGTATTTTCATCCAGGGTTGAGCTACATGTAAGAAGGTCATCCATATACTGGAGTATACTCCCATTTCTTAATTGCAGACCCCTCAGATCCCTCTCCAAGGCCCAGGCAAAGCAATGGGGGCTATCCTGAAAACCCTGAGGGAGAACTGTCCAAGTGTACTTGTTTTTCTTTGGTATTAGGATTTTCCCATTCAAAGGCAAAAAGGTATTGGGATTCTGGGGCCAGAGAAATGGAAAAGGAAGCATCTTTTAGGTCTAGGACTGAGAACCATTTAGCATCCCTTGGCATCTGAGCCAGGAGGGTATATGGATCTACCACTAATGGGTGGACCCACGAGTGGGTCTTAAGAGCCCATGGGTAAGTAATACCTCAGCTGTGGATGCTTGGCCTTTTCTTGCTTCCAGCTTAATTGGATATTGTTTTCCATTATAAATAGCTAGGGGTCTTTAAGCTGTATTTTGACTGGCACCACTGTTTTAGCCTTCCCTGGTTTTCCAGTATACCATGCCAGTGTGTTAACCTGCTTATTAATGTGATCTGGGACAGTTTCTGTATTTTTGACTATTAGCAATTTCACCAGATGATGCTTAAATTGTAGTAGTGCCCCTATTTTAACCATAATATCTCTTTCCAACAGGGGGACTGGGCAGCTTGGTACTACTAGAAATTCCTGTTGGAAGATTTGTTTCTCAAATTGACAAATCAAAGGAGGAGTAAAGGATCTTATTTGTGGCTTTCCTTCCATTCCCATAATGGTCGTGGACTGGGAGGAAAGTTTTCCTACATAAGCAGTAAGGAAAGAAACTGAATTTGTATCGAAAAGAAACTGAATTTGGGTGCCCGTGACATCCAGAGTTACCTGGGGGCTCCTCAGTAGTAATTACGATGTTCGGGAACAGGGGCAGTGAGGAAGACCCTGGACCGCTTCAGTCTTCATCTGATTTCTCTTTTTGCACTGCTAGAGTTTTGCCTTATTGAACCCCTTGGTGGGAGCAGGGCCAATAAATCTTCCAACGCCAGGGGTCGTAACTGATGCCCTCACATTTTTGGCAGGGGACTGGCAGGGGCTTAATACAGTCCTTTATCCAATTCTCAATTTTCTTGCATTTGAAGCATGAGCCTTTGCTGTCCAGATTATCAGAGGCAAGCCAAATCAACCAAATTCCAAGTGGCTAGTGTTCTCCATCAATTCCTGCAGGCCTGAAATAGGTAGCCTAGGAATTCCAGATAAATAGAACACATGATGACTTGCTGGAAATTCACAGGAAACAAAATAACTATTCTCGGAACCAAATAAAAGCCTTCCACTAGAAACTAAAAAATGTCTATAGTTCTATATATGGTTTTATATATATGCATACACAAGTAAAACCCAAAGGAGAACAAATAGCAAACAAATGAAAATTAGAAGCAAAAACAAATAAACAGGAAACCATCCCTACATTTTTGCTACTTAGCCTACCTGGGGGCTACAGTGTTACCCAGAGCTCCCCAGAAATCCACATAATGAATATTTATTTTATTCCTGATACACAACTCAATATCCTTAATTCCACCAGTATCACCATACATACTGTGCAATGAAGAAATTCACTCTAGGCACATGACCAGTAAGTACTCCAGTGCCAGCTTGTTTAGT